TGCTATCAGGGAATCAGGATCGTCGTCAATATCAATGACCCCCTCAATCCATGCAGCCATCTTTACCTAAAAAGCAGAGGGAAACAGTGAATTCGACACTCCAGATCAAATGCACCCTTCAACCGCAGATCAAGTGAAAGGGCGAAAAGAGGTGAACCCATAAGGGAAGGGTCTCCCTCGCCTTGACAGGTGAGAATCGGGTCCCCGAGACTTTCATCTAATGTCCTCGGGGATCCCTTCCCAGGTCCTCGAGACCTTCATCAGATCCTTGAGACATTCATCTTATGTCCCATGTGACTTACTTGGTACGGCGGTTCTAGAAGGACGAGATGGCGGCAGACGTCGAACGTCTTGAAGCAGAGAAAGGAGGAACACAGAAAGGAAATAGAGAACGTCTTGAACGGAAGAAGAGAAACGTGAGACTGAAACAGACTCAACCCATATTTATAAACCTAGCACGGGACTTGAGGCGTCCCTAGGCACTTGAGTGCCCCTACCCCTAGCCTCCCTAGGCATTAATTGCCCTGACACGTGGCATCACCAGACACTCCACACCATTCGTCTTCCCCACGTGCTCGGAGATTAAGCACGTCCGTTCACTTTCCACCTTCTTGACATATTGTCTCGTCGAGCATCCTCGGCTCTTACCCTAGTACACGACCCTAAATTCTATATGTCAGGCAAACTACCATCTTCTGAACTGGTCCTCGACACTTTACTTGATCTTAAGTCATTACTCCTCCACTTAGGAGTAACGACTTGGGGGACTCCTGTTCGGGATTGGGCCGAGACCTGCCCCTCAGTCGGGCAGGCCCAACCTAATACTACGCTGATGAAGCCCAACAAGGTTCAATCCTCCTTTGTCGAGCACGTACCTCAACAAGGAATCTTTGTCGGTCTTCCCTACGCCACGTAAGCCCTGGTAGTTACTTGTGTTGGGCTTGACAATCCGGCCCAGTGCAATGTAAATGTTGGCCCTGTGTTGGGGGCACATTATAAATACTCTCTTTCACTAAAGGGTGAGGTATCTTATTCTCTACACCTATTCTCTCTGTACATGCTCTTTATAAAACTCCATTACTCACTTAAGCATCGGAGTACCTTGCAGGTACACTCCCTCCTCCTCTACAACACCGGTAAGCACAGAAGCTCACGACGCGTGACAGACTACTGATTCCTTTTTAATCAGGTGAAATCAAATATTAAATTGTAATTTAGTTGTAAACTAAAATCCATTTTAGTATGGATCTATTCAATAAGATTGAGGGATGTATAAAACAAAATTAAATTGTTTATTATTATTATTATTGAATTTTGTAAGTAATGTAAATTTTTTTGATATGATGGATATTTTACAATTTTTAAAAATATTATCTTAGAGTCAATTTAAAAAAAAAAAAAAAAAAGAGTGAGGTATAATTTTTTTCCTATTAATATTGGGTTTAAGTTTGTATATTATGCTTAACTTTATAATCACCTTTCCATGTATTTTTATAAAAACTCTTTAAAGTTTGACCAACCAATTACAATACAACATATGTGTAAGTCTATTCATAAATTCACCATTTTTGTGATGTTTTAAATTTATAAAATAGGACAAATTTATATGTTTTATTAGAAAACTGTGTATTCACCTATCATAATTGTTTCATGTCTTTTACTAAACCAAAAGTTATAGCGAATTATAATATAAATATTACTTTTTTATTATTAAAAAAATACAATTTATACATTTTTAATATTAATTAAGATATATAATAAATATCAAGTTGTATTTTAGTTATAAAAATAAATTCATTTTTATATGGATCTATTCAATAAGATTAAATGAGGTTTAAAATTAAATTAAATTATTTTTTAATAAAAAATTTGGTTATAAAGAATAATTTTTTTTTTATAACTCATAGTAAATTGTATTATGATTTATAAACAATGTATAATTATTTCTAATGATTCTAAAATCAATAATGTTGATTCTTTATAATTTCTAAAAATATAATGTTAAATATAGTTATATTTATAAAGATAACAAAAATAATGATAATTCATATATTTTATTAAAATAAATACTGATACCTACATTTATCATAATTGTCAAAAACATTTTATTTGTTTAAATGTAAAATTATATATATATATATATATATATATATATATATATATATATATATATATATATATATATATATATATATCCACTTGTTAACGTATATCCACTTGTTTTTATGAAGGTTTATTTTAGAAAGTTTCAACTAAAAAAGTTTTAAATACACCTTAAGGTGAATGCTATTAAAACAAATATTTATAAAAATAAGTGGATGTATTATAGCAAACCTCAAATAAGTGAATGCTATTAACAAGTTTTAACTAAAAAAATAGTTAAATGCATCCTAAGACGCATGTTGTTAAAATAGATCTTCATAAAAATAAGTGGATCTACGTTAACAAATCTTATATATATATATATACCATAACGTTGTTTTCTTGAAATAAGTGTAAAAACTATTCTAAAGGGTTGTTAATTATAGAAAAGATGAAAGAAGATAAATAAAATTAATTTTATCTTTAAAAAGATGAATTTTTTTTACTCAAGACAAGAAAAATACTTTTTTTCTTATATTTTAAAGACGTATGCATTTATAAAAACACTTGGGACAAGAAAAATACCTCTTTTTTAATTATATTTTAGGACGTATGCATGTATAAAAACACTCTATATTTTGGGACAAGAAAAATAATTTTTTTCTCTTATATTCAACCAAAATATTTTTAAAACACCTTCCATATTTTAGAATAGGTTTTGGAATATACATATTTAAAGTAATTTAGTGTAATTACTAAACATTTATTTTGGAATGTTTTATTATTAAACTGCAAGTATTTAAAACAATTGGTTAGACAGAATAAAAATTCCTAACAATTCATAGTAGAATTATTTCTAATGATTCTAAAATCAATAATATTCCTTATAATTTATAAAAAAAATATAATGTTAAATATAGCTACATTTATAAAGATAATAAAAATAATGATGATTCATATTTTTATTAAAATTAATATTTATAAGTTAAGTAATGTACTCTTCTTTTGGCAGCATTAGAGAAAATTTAGAAATTTTAGAAACTAATTTTATGTGAAATTTGAAAGAGGTTGAAAAACCTATCCGTTCAAGTAATTAACCGAGCGAATGAATTTTGGGTCATAAGCATTGTGTACCAGGCTCTCACAGTGGTAGTCTGAGGGTGACAATGTGAGACTGTGAGAGAGCAAAGAATATGACGGTGAATCGACGGGAAAAGTAAAGGGATCCCAAATTTTAGAAAGAGAGATTATTTTATATATCTTTCCGTGTTAGTAGTAGCTTTCTATCATTGAATTTTACATTTTAGTGTATCCTTCATGTATTACTTTCTTAAGTTCTATGTTTTTTTTAATTGCTTTGTGAGTGGTTAAACTCCCTGCTTGTTATGCATGATTCTTGTTCTTAAGGCATATTCTTGTATCTTTTATGCTATTGCTATATTGCTATATTAATGAATTGACTTTTGCTATTTATGTAATATTTGCTTGCAATGGTTACTCGTCAATTGGAAGTGATTTGGGTTTATCTTATGAAACAAGGTGCAGAGTAGATAAAGACTTTGAATTAGATATTTTAATTGATTTTCGTTTACAATTAGATATTATAATTTTTGGAGATACGTTTTCTGTTATTGAAAAACTAAACGTTGAAAAATTTCAAAGATGCAAAAGTGCATGTCTATCATTCATACTATTATATAAAAATGCATGTTTATCAATTTTTTTGAAAAAAAATACTACCGCACATTTTAATATAAAAATTTATTTATTTTATAATTCAGCAATAAAATCTTTGAATTTTTTCAAATGTTGTTAAAAAGAACTTTAAAATATTTAATATTTCATAATTAATTGATTTATTTTTATTAAAAATGCAAGAAACGGATAAAGATATGGATACTTAAATCTGCACATTGTCATCCCTTAGAAACGAGTTATTCCTTAGAAACGAGTTATTGTTGTTGCTGTGGTCGTCATCCCTTAGAAACAAGTTATTCCTTAGAAACGAGTTATTGTTGTTGCTGTGGTTGTGGTCGTCTTTTTATCAAACTAACTATATTAGAATTTAAATTTGAATTGAGTGGCTTTAAATTTGAATTGAGTGGCTTATACTCGTAATTAGGTGCATGTATATAATTATTTCATCAAACTAATTATATTAGAATTTAAATTTGAATTGAGTGGCTTTTATTTGTATTATGTATCCAAAATTGTATTTCATCAAACTAATTATATTAGAATTTAAATTTGAATTGAGTGGCTTTTATTTGTAGTCATGTTGTAGTTTTTTTTTTCAGATGTGTATTTCTAACCAAAATTTTATTTCATCAAAAGTAACCTAGCATTTCAATCTTAATAGATAATGGAAAATAAACGCAAGACTATTGTTTCAGATTGCATATTACAATTTACATCAGATGTTGTAGTTGTTTCATTTCCTGTAACCTGACACTGCAAGTTTGCAATGACCACATAATACACATAAGACTGCAAAAGTTCTCAAGATTTCTAGTGTATGATTGAAGTTGAGACCCGAAGAACCACGGTGACCCAGAGCCCGTGATTTTGCAAAATCTACATTCTATGGTTCACCAAAACCACTGCGCCGCCATGATTTTGCTGAACACGTCACACATTCAAACACACTTACAAAATTGTCAATGTTCGTATTCTTTTTCACAATATATGTTTGTGTGTTACATTTCTGTACAAGTTACAACTCTGCACACTCTTAGATCCCAAGAAACAGATCCCATAACAAAACCAACCATCTCTCAGAAATGAAAACAGACATAAATTTATGTTGTAATATCATCAAACATTCCAATGAAAATTATCAGCATGTTTGATCTCTGTTCCAAATAGTGTATGCATATTCAGTAATCAAAGTTGCTAACAAGAACTATCTCAAAACAATACTATCCAACACATTCTACTTGCAAGGTTAAATCTTTTATTCCAGCATTGTGTAATAGATGCGAAACCTGAGACTTCACTGATATTTTGTCGGTATCGGTTGACACGTGTAGATGCAGTGTTCCTACTACATCTGTGTTGGTGAAGCTCCATGAATGGAACTTTTGAATGCCATAAACACCCTTTATCTTCAAAACACTGGCTAAGGAATCTTTCAGATCGTGCTCATGTGCCCTAGGAACTCTTTGGAGCAAAACTTCGGCCGAGTTTCTGAGTAATGGTATCACAGAGGACACAATTAAAACCGAAATGAAAATTGAGCAGACTGGATCAGCAGCAAGCCAACCTTTGTACTTAATTAAAAGTGTAGATATGACAACACCGACACTCCCCAATGTGTCTGCAAGAACATGTAAGAATATCCCTTCCATATTGTGATCGATGTGGCGATGACTTTGCTTTTGGCGAACCAGCATATCATGACTATGGTGGTCAGCATCATGATGGTGCTGATGGTCATGGTGATTATGATCATGACACTCACTGTGGTTATGGTGGCTTGCATGGTGATTATGGTCAAGGTGGCCAGTATGGTGATTATGATTATGGTCAAGGTGGCCAGTATGGTGATTATGATCATGGTCATGATGGTCAGCATGGTGATTATGATCATGGTCATGATGGTCGGCATGGTGATTATGATCATGGTCATGATGGTCGGCATGGTGATTATGATCATGGTGATCATGCTTCTGGATATGAGCATGGTGATTATGGTCATGATGGTCGGCATGGCTATTATGATCATGGTGGTCATCGTTGTGATGCTTGATGCTCTGAATGCGGTGACTATCTGTATGAAACTCGACTTTCCTCTCATGACTAGAGTGATTGTGATGTCCAAGATCACCGGAGCATGAATTATCTTGGCAACTACTGGAAACCGAAATGATTTCTCGGTTGCTTTCATGATGATGATGATGCGGGTCGTGGTTATGTAACTCCGAATGCGAATGTGGATGCGAATGTGAGCATGATCCAGACATTCCATGAGCATGATGATGCTCCTCGTGAAAGAATACCAACCCAATAACATTAACTACAAGTCCCCCTACAGAAACAACCAACAAACTATTAGTCGTAATCTCTTGAGGATCCAAAATCCTCTCAAACGACTCCACAACTATCAATGCTCCAACAAGAACCAGAAAAACAGCATTAGTGTAACCCGACAGAACCTCAAATCTTCCTCTGCCATAGTTATAGTGGTTATTCGCAGGCAAACGAGATATATACGAAGCATACAACCCAATTGCCAAAGCAGCACAATCAAACAACATGTGACACGCATCCGATATCAGCCCAAGACTATTACTCATAAACCCTGCAACAAACTCCACAACCATATACCCGGCATTTATCAAAAGAAAAAGTGCAATTTTCCTCGACTTCCTCTCGCTCAAGATATGTCTAATAGGCTTCATAACCATCTCAGTTAAAAACTGCGAAGAGTCATCTCCGAACACAATATCATCGGAATTAAAAGAATCTAAATCTCTAACAGCCACATAGAGCAACAAACCACAAATCAACAAACCCCAAAGCGATATATCAGGATAGTAAAAAAGCTCCAATATCAAAGTACACGTAAACATCACCAAAAACTCTCTTTTCGAATCTTTGAAACTCATCAAATCATCACCACTATAACAATTCTCACTCAAAAGAACGCCGAAAACAACCGTATTCGCCAAAGGCCAAGCCAAATTCCCAAAAGAAACACTATCCTCGCCAGCTTCATAAACAAAATAACTAATCACAGCAGGAACAAAAAGCACAACTGTAGTGAAAAACAATGTCACCAACCGAACCCGTTTACGATCCAATTGCTTAAAACTCCCATAACTATCAACCGAAACACACGGCTCATAACAAGCTAAAAACCCAGACAAAAATGGAAGCAACAATTGCCAAACCCTAACACAATTATCAACCCCAATTCTACTCAAAGGAAAACACTCAGCTCTATCCCATCCAAAAGACAACATAAACAATCCCGAAAACAACAACACAAACCCGCGAATTTCAACCCAACCGTTTCTCCGATTTCTCTGGAACCGCCGAGCCGTCACAGTTCCCATAAACTCTGCAATTATCATCGCGGCAGTGCTGCAATATCGCAGAGCCGAAAACCGTAGGAGAAAAACCAAAGCTAAAAGAATCGATTTTGATATAAGAATCCTCTGCTGAGAGTTTGTAATTGATGTGGAAAAATTGAAGAGTGATGGTTGTTTGGGTTTATGGAAAGTGGCTCTGGAAGATGAAAAGAGGGAGAAAGAGAGGGTGAGGAAAAAGGAAAGAAGGGAAACGAGGAAGGAAAAAGGGAAGAGAGAAAATGAAGGGGAATAGGAACGGAGGAAAGGGAAAAGGGAGTAGAGAGAGCGAAGGGACAAGAGGAGGAGGAAGATGAAGGAAATGGATTTAGAATTGGATTTTGAATTTGGTTTGGAATTGAAGGAGAATGATGAGCGGTGTTTGGATTTGGAAGGAGTGAGGCCTGGGGTTAGGGTTGGTGATGAATATGGGAAAGGGGAATTAGGGTTAGCGTCATAAGTGGCGGTGGTGCGAGGAGGGACGGAGATACGGTGTGGGCGGTGCTGGTGGTGGTGGAAATCGGTCATTGTGGGAAAGAGAGCAAGAAGAATCAATACAGTGAGGAGTGTTTGTTTTTCAGCGGTTTGAGGTAGATTCATACACTGAAGAAATGACACGTCAATGGGATGCAAACATGTTTTACTAGTCTTAACTAGAATATTCAAGGTTGATTTGATTTGTGTTTTTTATTTTTTTTTATAAATTTTTTTTTAATGAAATTTGATTTGTTTAGGCACGTAATTAATTTAAAATTGAGTTTAGGAAGGAGGTTATATGAAGTCTAATGTATAATTAGGTTTTTTAGATTTTAAGCAGGTTTTAGTTCAAGTGAGATAATGACTTGAGTTTGTCATCTGATTAAGGTTGTTAATAGGAGATGAACTTTGTTGATGACTTGTGTTCAGGGTTGTAGATTGTTGTTTAGGAATTTTTTTTTGGGACTATTGTCAAGTAAATCTATTGAACTGTTGATTGCGTTGATAACGAAATTGATTTGTGAACATAGTCGTTTTGAATTAAATATGTTTTTTGCATCTGTATTAATGTCATAAATACAGATTGTGTTTCGATCATGATATTTGTGTCTGGTGTTGTTGACATCCCATTGTCTCTAAAAGAATAAGTCATTAGTAATGAGGAATCCTTAAATCAAGGTGAAACTAGGGAAATTACCTAACAGCTCAATGGCTAGTTGTTGAGAAATTGACGTACAAGAGAGGGACGATGTTTTTACTCAACTAATGTTGGAGTTTGGAGGGAAAATCTAAATTGTTGAAGTGAAGGTAATAATTCTCACTCAATCAAATACAAGATCTTGGAAAGAGAATTCAACATGTTGTCATCGAGGGTCAAGATTGTAACTAAATCATGCTTAGAAACTTAAAGAGAGAGTCTTACTTGCAATCGTCCATAATTGAAACATGTACCCATTTTAATTAGAAATTCGTAATATATATATGTGTATGTGTGTGTGTGTGTAGTGTTTTATTTGTGGAAGTCCTAAACTACCTTGAAACACTAACATATAAAGCTTCTCGGCGTCATGCGAAAGCCCTAACTACCATATCATGTTGTAAACCTACCAAGGCCTGCGAGTCCCCTGCCTATGTAGGGGGAACACACACACACCTATATTTTTTTACCAATACAGTGACGCCCATAGTGGGTCCCAGTAAAAGTTTTACAAGTTAAATAAAGAGTTGTATGATTTGAAACAAGTTCCAATATCTTGGAACAAGAGTATAGATGGTTTCTTAAAGGAGATTGACTTTAAGAAGTGTATATCTGAACATGGTGTGTATGTGAAGAATGATACAAATGAACTGGTGATAATACTATGTCTATACATGGTTGATTCGTTGATTATGGGAAACAATATAGAGTGAATTTCTAAATTCAAAAGTGAGCTTATGAAGGAGTTTGAGATGACCTAGCTATGCCTCATGACATACTTCCTTGGCATTGAGTTTTACAATTCCAAAAAGGGACTGCTCATACACCAAAGAAGGTATGTGATTGAGATTTAAAGAAGTTTGAAATAGAGCATTATAATGTTGCCATTAATCCAGCTGAATTGAGGCTCCAATTGTCAAAGAATGAGGATGAGCATGATGTTAATACAACTCAGTATCAGAGATTGATTGGATCTTTGTGTTACTTGTGCAATACGCGGCGAATATGGCATTTAATGTCGATATTGTGAGCAGATTCATGGAGAGACCAAAGTTGTCTCACTTGGCAGAAGTTAAGAGGATTCTAAGATACATCAAAGGATCTATTGGCTACATAATTCTATTTCATGCCATGGACAAGGGCTGAAAATACAATTTACTCAGATTTATCAATTTCAATTGGTGCAGAGATAAAGATGATAGAAAATCTACAGCTGGATACTTTTTTTGTTTGGAGAAACACCAATCTCTTGGTGTTCAAAGAAGAAACTGGTAATGACACTTTCTTCTTGTGAGACCGAGTACATTGCAATTTTGTTATGTGTGTCAAGTCGTGTAGTTGATGAATTTGCGCCACTTCAAATTGCCCGTATATGGGTCAAGTCGTCAAACATTCTGCATGGTGGTATATCATGGGTTGCCTTCTAGATCCTAACACAACTTTTTGGCTATGACCCTCTACAATTCAGATTATGGAGATTTGATTTGAGGCTTTTGTAAATAATGTTAATTTCCAAAAGAATTAAAACAGGGGTGGGTCTTCATTTTCATGATCATATAGTCAAGACGAGATTAATTGCCCAATCTATGAGACTAGTCTTTTTCAAGAGCATACACAACTAAAGCTTCAAAGAGTTTGTGTCATGACTAATGTGTGATCGAGGCATAATTTGAATCCTAAGGATATTTTTAAAGATCATGTTTAATTGGTTAGACTGTATATAATCAAGATGTGATTGATTTGAGGCCAGGTTTAAAGCTTATACAAGTCATGATTCATTCACCTTCAAAGACATGTTTTGAAATAGCTTCTAAAATTCACTTCCAAGATTGGTTTTTATCCACATAGTTATTCATTGCTAAAAGGCAAGTTTCTTAGTCACTTGGAATTTTTTCTTACATGAGTAGATGAATTTAAAGTGTGCCTTACAATCCAAATGTACTATTTTCATACAAGAAGTGTCACAAAAACACACAAAGGCCAATTAAAAGAGAAACATACAATAAAATCCCATAAGAATTTTGCTTTCAAGGCCCATTTTGTCTACAAGAAAGTTGGCATAAAAAAAGGGGGAGGGAATTCTAGACCTAGCGGCGACATACTAGAGCTGAGGAGGAAGATTCAAAACCTCCTTGATTTTTACCTTATGTGATACTCCCTCTTCAAATTTCAATGACAAAAACAAAATTGAACCCCGCCTTAAAAATTTTCCCAGAGAAACCCTCCATAATCATACACTTACAAAACAACGTCCATTTCTCTAGATGCTACCCTCCGCCACGATTTTCTCAAACCAACGTTGAACAACTTGTCCCGGATTCAAACCCAAATGCACGAAATGTATTTCAACATAATCTTTGTTTGTCTCTGTTCATCTGTGAAACAACCTCTCATCCACACACAATAACCACACATCAGTGTTTAGAAAAAAAATGGAAGCCACCCACACAGCAAAAAAATTCATAACATGAGATAAACAAACCTACAGAATAAAACCCCTCATTCAGCCCATCTTTTTCTACCTTCAACCCAGTTTTCTTCTTCAACCCAACAACAACAACAACCTGAATCTTCCATAAGAACTCCGCTTTCCTTCAAATCATATTGAATCCGAAAAAAGGCAAACCCAGAAAATCAAAACCAGAACTAAATAAAAAAGACGGAGAAAGATTTGAATACTTAATCAAAACCTGGATATCATTTCAAGCAGAAATAGCGAGCATGGTGCAAGAACTGTATCGCGCAAGAAGATGAAGACCAAAACCATTTCCTTCGATCTACCACTTTGTTGTTGGTTCGCACACATTGATGATGATAATAATTACATTCCCAAACTTGTTTTTTTTTTAATTTCTTTGGAAGTTGTTGACATTTCCTGATTCATTTTCTCCTGTAAAACGTGACCGCCGAGTTGATTAATGTTAGTTTTGTTGGTTCATTTTCTATGAAGATGCATTACAGGGTCTCGATGATGGTATGTGGCATGAAATTGGGCTTAAATCCACTTCCTTTTACCCGTTGTTTCTCTCTCTCTCTCTCTCTCTCTCTCTCTCTCTCTCTCTCTCTCTCTCTCTCTCTCTCTCTCTCTCTCTCTCTCTCTCTCTCTCTCTCTCTCTCTCTCTCTCTCTCTCTCTCTCTTCATAGTTTATTTTTGTTTTTGTGTTGATTGGCAATAGATTGAATGGGCTGTGAAGGCCCACAATGATTTCCATAATGGAACTTCCCCCTACATCCTTATCTCAGCGCCCCCTTTCTCATGTGTTTTTTGGTTTTTAATAAAATAAATTTTTAGAGTTTTATAAAGTTTTCTAATTTAAGTTTAGATTTTCAATATTTTAATAAATTTATTTTTAGAGTTGTTCTGGCCTGGGCCCCGACTTGACCGGGCAGGCCCAGCCCAATAACATTCTGTCAAGCCCAATCCAGCTTGGGCCGCAGCCGTCGAGCACATGGTCCCCGACAGGCAGGTAATATCCCTCCGCGGGCAGAACCTACCTCATCTGTATCGAACACAAAACTCCCCATCGGGTAGACATTGCCCCCGTCGGGCAGAACCTCCCTCCGCGGGCAGAACCTTCTCCCCTTGTCGAGCCGGACAACGTGTCCTTCACACGTTCTCCACGTGCTCCCCTCCGCGGGGACACGTCACCAACCAACTGCCCACCTCCGAAAGAGCAGGTCAAACCCACTTTCTGGAGATCACGAGATAGTTGAACTAGGGCGAAGACCACATTCTGGTCTTCACTATGCCACGTAAGTCCTAGCAGTCACTTGGGTTGGGCTTGACCATCCAGCTCAACTCAAATGACCATTGGCCTTGCGTTAGGGTCTCTCTATAAATACCCTCTTTCACGAAAGGGTCAGATAATCACTCCTTACCCCTTTTTCTGTACTTGTGATCACTATGCCCATACGCTTACTTTAGCATTGGAGTGCCTTGCAGGTACACCCCCTCTTCTTCTTCAACACCGGTGAACAGGCAGCAAGTCAAAGACGCATGGCAGCCAGTGATCCCCTTCTGATCAGGTCAGATCAGTGGCGCCGTCTGTGGGAACATAAAACTTCCCCGTTCCTCCGAGCAGAAAACCAAAGTTTCACCAACATTCCGCGATCATGGCTAGCCCACTCCACGACGATGTTGTTCACGACCTCATCCTCGCTCCCGTTGCGAACGGTGGCAAGCAAACAGAGACGTCCCAACCTCCGGAGACCGACGAAAGGGACGACCAGACTGCCTCTCCCTCGTCCGCAGAAGCTGCACACCAAACTATTCTCCGACCAAGGAGCCCATCAGCGTTCCAACCCATCCCTGTCCCGGTCGGAGAGGACCGACAGTGGTCGCCCTCTTCGCGGC